TTACTATAAATTTTTAATCATATGTCATGGATTTTTTTAAAGTTAGTTCACTGTAAATATTAAACAGGTAAATATGGTTGACCTTGAAGTACTGTTGTAACTAGCTGGAGGCTGAGTATGATTTTTAAATAGAAAATGTCAACCTTGACAACCTTTATATCCTAATGAGTAGGACATTGTAAAATATGAAGTTACACGTTTCTTAATTTTTAATAAATTTTTTAGAAAATTACATAAATGAAAACTAATAATTTTTCATACTGTAAGAATGAAGGACTAATTGTACTTCAGTATGAACTAACTATAATATAATTATGTAGAATCTGTATAATTGTACAACTAGATATATTCTGTTTTATATTTCACATTACCTTCTATAATAATATTTTTCATATTTTAACACACTTATAGCATCATCATTGTTAACTATAAAATTGTGAAATAATTAACTATAAAATTGATTGTTAAGATGTCTAGGCTGTAACTACTCTCGTGTATCCCATAACTAAATTTTCAAATCACTATTATAAAAAAAAAAACAAATGAAAAAAGTACAGTGTTCAATAGCACTGCATTATAATAATCAATAATAATGATAAATCCTAAAATATAAAAAAAATTTTTGCTTACGTTTGAAGTTTCCACATCGAAACGCCAAATGCAATATAGGACGAGGAGTATCAACGATACTAGCAAGAGGTACTAGCGATACTAGCAATCACTGGGTTAGTCAAGAGGTTTGCAAGGAATATTCAGAGCAACGGGGATAAGAACTATCCATGTCACTTGTTAGAATCGATCGTAAAACGAGGATCACGAGAGATCGATAGAGTGGCTTTACTCGTTCGCCAAAGACACGCAACGACTGTTTTGCCGCCAGTGCTTTTGCACTACCGATCCATCCACGAAGAAAGCCGACTTCGGCATGAAAAGTGGGGAGACTCATTTCTGGACTCTTTTCGATAATGCATGTATCCTCGAGTGACGTGGTTGCCATATACGATCGCTGTTTTTCCGGTCACCGATCACTTCCGGTTTCCTTTTTCATTCAATTTGCCATTGCACCCACGCACTTCTATTTACCATTTCTATTTTTGAAATTACTTACAGAAATTTATATCAAACTTTTCTTTTTCGTATGTGACATTAGGACTCCATGTTTTTTATTGTAACTTTGTACAATTTTGTGTAAAATTGTTTTATTATTTTTATAAGAGATTGTATGATTTTGTATAAAATTATTCTACTATTTTTATATAAACTTGACTGAAATTATTTGATTATTTTTATAAAAATTTGTACGATTTTATGTAAAATTGTTTTATTATTTTTATAAGAGATTGTATGATTGTGTATAAAATTATTCTACTATTTTTATATAAACTTGACTGAAATTATTTGATTACTTTTATAAAAATTTGTACGATTTTATATAAAATTGTTTTATTATTTTTATAAGAGATTGTATGATTTTGTATAAAATTATTCTACTATTTTTATATAAACTTGACTGAAATTATTTGACTATATTTATAAAAATTTGTACGATTCTATGTAAAATTATTTTATTATTTTTACAAGAGATTGTATGATTTTGTATAAAATTGTTCTACTATTTTTATATAAACTTGACTGAAATTATTTAACTATTTTTATAAAAATTAGTACGATTTTATGTAAGATTGTTTTATTATTTTTACAAGAGATTGAATGATTTTGTATTATAAATTATTCTACTATTTTTATATAAAGTTGAATGACTTTATCAGAAATCATTCAAATATTTTTCTATTTTTGTATGTTAAGGTTAGACTTTCCTTTTGAAATTTCTTTCAAAAATAAATTTATTTATGATTGTTTACTGTTTCTCATTTATAGACACACATCAATACTAATTGTTTTATAACGACTACGGATAATTACATCAGTAAAATTTTACAGCAAAGGTGTTTTCCGATGCCAGACGTATCGTTATAATCAAACGCGATAATATGACGTCAATATGTTTAAAATTACATCCAATTGATATTCGTTGATCGTAGTTTCGTATAAGGTATCGCTTCGAGTAAACTTGGAAGTGTCATTGCGATGGAGTATCGATGAAAATGTGAATGAAACGTTTCCAGGAAACATAAGTCTATTAAATAGGGAAGATGGTGGCAGGATCACCATACTTAGCAAAGATGTCCATAACTTCCTTATTTCTTGTATTAGTAAACGATATTCCACTTTAGAGAAATGCAAAACAATTTTATGAACACAAAAAAATAAATACGATATGTAAATAAAAGGAAATAAATATAATATGTGTGCAAGAGAAAATAATAAAACATAACCTAACCTAGTCAAGTTTGACTTAGTCAAACCTAACCTAGTTACACTTAATCTAGTCAAACGTAACTTAGATAAACCAAACATAATTCTGACCTAACCTAATCAAACTTAACCTAGTCAAACCTAACCTAGTCAAACTAGGCATAATACTAACCTAATCAAACCTAACCTAGTCAAACCAAGCCTAGTTTTAACCTAACCTAGTCAAAACAAGCTTAGTTCTAATCTAACCTGGTCAAATCTACCCTAACCAAAAGGTATAATTAAAACAAAAAAAGAACTAAATATCAAAAGAATAAGTACACGAAAAAAGAAGTATAACTGCATTAAAAAAGATAATATTAAAATAAATGAAAAAATTCTTCACTTAAGTATCTCAAAAGGATATTAAGGGTCAAGAATGATCGTTAAACTGAATTAACAACACTCTGACTAATTGCACCTCATCGACCGATAATTTAAATTGCATTCCGTTCACGGTGCCCCACATTTCATTTCTCAACAATTACATCGCGGTACACCCTCTGCCCACGCATGCGCACGCATACACATGCGCAGAGACACATGCGCACAGACACACGCGCACGTGCATACACGCAGATTTCATCCGATGCATACAATTTCGGCACAATATAAACATTCAACTACGAGCATACAAATTGTAACATGTTCATATCTCTCCGATCAAACGAAATTACCCAACGGAACACGTCTCGGGTGCGATTAATTCGACGATTAATCATTCGTCGCGATGCACCTGGCGATATGGAATGAAAGGAGCGTTCAAACGGGCGCCGAATGGTCGCACAAACGAATCGACGAGTTCGACGGATGGTTGATCGCACGAAATCGAGAGAAAAAAAGAAGAAAGAACGAGGAGTTGAGCAATCGGTGAAATGACGTGTCCCTAATGCTACGTTGATCCCATGATAATGTGGGTCAAGGTGATTGCGAAAAAGAAATGACAACGTAACATACCGCATTATGCCCATAAATGGGCCAAGTATTATATGCGCCGGTGGAAACGGCATTGATATCGGACGGCTCTTTAAAAGGTAACAGTAAGTTACGTGAGGTTAGACACCCGAGAGAAAGAGAGAAATTTATTGCTCAATCGGAGGAGATTGTTCATGGTGACAATGGGAATGTAAGGAGGGAACGTATGGTCTGACTAATGAACGGACGATGCGCTGATACTACTTGCGGTGATGTTCGAGTGTTGCCGCTGTAAGGGGTATTGGCTAGGGACATCCCAGTTATCGAGATTATGGAATTATCGAGATATACTTGTATGTACTTGGAGTTTAGTTAGAAATTTGGGGAGATGGAAATTTAGGGACTTAGGGGTTTGGGAGTTTAGGGAATTTTGAGATTTGGAAAATGTGGAGATTTGGGATTTAGGGATATGGGGATTTGGGGATATAGGGATTTGGGGATATAGGGATTTGGGGATATAGGGATTTGGGGATATAGGGATTTGGGGATATAGGGATTTGGGGATATAGGGATTTGGGGATATAGGGATTTGGGGATATAGGGATTTGGGGATATAGGGATTTGGGGATATAGGGATTTGGGGATATAGGGATTTGGGGATATAGGGATTTGGGGATATAGGGATTTGGGGATATAGGGATTTGGGGATATAGGGATTTGGGGATATAGGGATTTGGGGATATAGGGATTTGGGGATATAGGGATTTGGGGATATAGGGATTTGGGGATATAGGGATTTGGGGATATAGGGATTTGGGGATATAGGGATTTGGGGATATAGGGATTTGGGGATATAGGGATTTGGGGATATAGGGATTTGGGGATATAGGGATTTGGGGATATAGGGATTTGGGGATATAGGGATTTGGGGATATGGAAATTTAGGGTTATTTAGGAAATTTGGAAATTTTGAAATTTGCAAACTCTGAAATTTGGAAGCTTTGGAATTTGGAAATTTTGGAATTTGGAAGCTTTGGAATTTGGGAGCTTTCGAATTTGGAAATTTTGGAATTTGGAAGCTTTGGAACTTGGAAATTTTGAAATTTGGAAGCTTCGGAACTTGGAAATTTTTGAATTTGCAAGCTTTGGAATTTGGTAGCTTTGGAATTTGGAAATTTTGGAATTTG